CATTAGCACCTCTAGTAATATATTTCCTGAGAAAAATGGTGACGTGTTCAATACTTATTTTACCTGCTGTATATAAGGTATACAAGATATTATTTGTTAATAATCCATCCCCAAAAGTTCACATCAAAATATCTTAGCTGTCCCTTTAAGAGTTGTCTTTAAATAAGAGGAACTAAGAAAAGCATGTAGGCTAATACATGAAGCCCAAACTTACCACAGTGCAGCAAAGGGGCCAGAACCACCAGAGTAAAACCAGAGCCAGTAAAAGCAGCAGAGCCAACAGCAGCCACAGCACCCAGGTCCCATCTGACTGCAACACACAAGACTCACTGTGAGTTAAATATAGTATATGATGATTTTATTTTATCAATATAAAGACTTTGCAAAACGCTGTATTCTGACACCATTAATGCAGAACACAATTAAGTTGGAGTTTTATTTAGTACAAAAGAGTTTGAACTAGTACTCACGCATGTAGTGGCGTGTATAGATATGGGAGCAGAGATGAAAGATTTCCCATTGTTCAGGCTGACCAGCACTTCAACTGATCTGTCATCAAACAGAAAATTACAAAAAAAAAGGAAAAAGAAAACCATCAGAAGAAAAATTATTTCTGCCAAAGATTGTTCATCTTCAGTTTTCAATCTGATAAAATACACAAAAAATACCAGAGAAAGACAGTATAAGACCCTGCTCCCTTAGAAATATGTGCTGATAAAAAAAGAGAGGAACGTTGAAACGTGGGGGGGTCTGATGGTTCAGTGAGAGAGATAAGAGTGTGTGAGATGACAGGTGGAGACAGATTCAAATGTAGTGATGTTTGAACTGGATCAGGCCTTTAAATGCCACAGAGATATCCAGGCTCAGATCACACAACACTCTTATTTCAAACACCCTGCTTGTCTGTCTCTGGTACGCACTCAGAGTTACAGTCAAATTCAGAACAAATACTTACTACTCACCAGAGGTGGGACCAAGTCAGTGTTTTGCGAGTCTCAAGTAAATCTCGAGTCTTTATCCTCAAGTCCTGAGTCATGTCTCAAGTTAAGACAGGAAACTTTCAAGTCAAGTCTCAAGTCTGAAACTTGGAATTTCAAGTCCTTTTGAGTCTGTTTTTAACAATGTTGCAATTATATGGTAAATGTAAATTATAGACCAATGCTCTCATTTTAAAATCTGTATTTATCTCAGTTCGTGATGAAATGTGCAGCTGAGCTTACAAAGTATTTAAAAATATTTTAAAATTGCACCTCTATATTGTACAGTTCAAATAAACTTAGCAGCAAAAATAGTCTTCCTTTAAATCATTGTTGTACATTTTTTTAATAAAAAAAAGACAGACGGTCTGCCTTTAATGATACAGAATGAGCTAAATCTGTATTTATCTCAGTTCGTGATGAAATGTG